GAACATCTTGAAGGTCTTGGACATCACCTTTAACCTACCACATCCTTCTCACATTTCCACACAATCCAAACAAGAAGAATGAATACCCCTGCTGCCTACCTAAAGCAATGACAAGCGTTTGAACATGACCACTTTGTCAACACGATGTGCCCAAAATACTCTATGGCTAAAATCCATTGCATGGCCTGGCTAAAATAATAGGTAGCCAACACCTGAGTAGTATATACAAGGTCCTGATCTAGGGTACTTGTATCTCCTCAATATGGCTCAACTAGCGAAAGGTACCCAACCTCAGAAATGTTTTGTACAACCTCGATTCTGTAAGAATTATCCATCCCCAGATCACACATTGGCTGGCTAAAAATTTTAGCCAGCAGAGGCTCAAGCCCATGGGATCCTAGCCAGGCTAGTGGACGGAGGATCATAGGGGTCTGTCTGGACGGCTTCTTCAGCATGTTCCTGCGCCTGCCGCTGTTCTTGCTGTGTGGTCTCAGTGGCTGGAGGTGGTACGAGAAAAGGTATGCCTGATGTCGGAACTGGATCCTCGGGTGGTTCTGGAATGGACTCGGAGGAGTCCTTGGCGCAGATTGTCGGCTGCTGTTCTGAGCTCTTTGATCTGCTGGTAGTCGGGGTTCCAGCATTCCAAACCATGGGCTATGTGCAGCTGATGAGGTGCCACGCGGATGGTGTTTGTGCCTGCTTGCAACCACATGCTTTTGCCGTCAAGATCACGTCCGAGAAGGCGAGCTAGCTTGTAGCCTCCTCGCTTCTTGCCGGACCGTGCTGTCCAGCGCCAGTATGCCACTGTGGCACCTATCTCCGGAATGTCGGAGATCTGTGGTTGTCTGTTTCGGAGTAGTGCTCTCCGGAGGCTGCTGTCCACTGCCATTGCTGCTATGTGTTGTTGTGCCTCTGCACGGATGGTGTCTGCGAACTGCTGTGCGTGGGATCTTGTTTGTCCTGTGACGAGGCCGTTGGGGTCGTTGAGGAGGTCAAAGACCCTGCCTTGGGATGCGGCCGAATGCAGCTGTGTATGGCGGGCGGCCTGTGCTCCATGTACAGCTGTTCTTGGCATGTGATGCCATGGCTGTTGGGGTCTCCATCTGTTCTGGTCCGGAGATATCCTGGGAGTCTATCACTCTCTCCATGATCTCCCGGTAGGTTGCGTTGTGTCGTTCAATGAGGCCGATCTTGTGGAGGGCCTCTGCTGGTATGTAGTCGATGTAGACTCCTGCTTCATCCATTGCTTCTTCAAAGGTGGATCTGAAAATTATCCATCTGGATCTGTCCTCAGTCGGAGAGGATAGCCGAATGGTCTGGCCCAGGCCAACTGGAACTGGCGGTTGACCTCTTCTGGTGTGCGGTCCTTGAGCAGTGCACCGATGTGGAGGTGAGTGACTTCATCGATGATGCCAAGGATCATATGGTTGACGCCTCGGATGTCCCGGACGTACATGATGTCCATCTGGATTCTGTCTGCGAATTGGGAGGCCGCTTCATCTGGAATGCCACCGCCTGGATCTGGGGCCTTTGGTTCGTTCACAGCTGTTGCACTTCATGTTGTCAATGGCTGTGTAAATGGTCTGGTTTCGGACTCCGTTCATGCCAAGTAGCTTCTTTAGTTCGGCTGGACGTGGGTGACCCATGTTCTTGTGCAGTCGTCGAACTGCCAGCTTGATCTCTGCGGGCAGCTTGATGTGCTCTGGAAAGGTGATGTCCTCAGCTGGTCTTGGGACGATCTGGAGGGGATCATCTGGTGATCAATGGGTGTGGTTGTAATGCCATAGACGGTTGTGATGAGTCAGGAAGTGTGTCTATGTCTGGCTGTTGTGGTCCCTGCAGCCTTGGTCGTTTGGTCTCAGGCGCTGGTTCATTCACATGGCCAAACATGAAAATGGCCAGTTGTACTGGCTCCTTGAAGCGTGCTCTTGAATGTCTGAGGAGCTTGAGGTCTTCTTCAAAAACCTCTATCTCGCCGTCGGTGTACTTCAACGCTGCCGCTCTCTGTGTGTGTGGTATGTGCGAAGGAAACCTCCACACCATTGGCTGCCATGAGATCTGGACTCTCTCAAGGTGATCCCATTGGGTCAACTGGGCTGCCTTGGTGAAGAGCGGGTCTGAAGTCGGCAAGGTGAAGTTCTTGTACCTAGTGACCTGGAAGGTGCTCTCGGCTAGACCTATGGCTTCGGCCCAGTCGGAGATGGCGGTCACCATGTGGATCTGGAAGGTCTGCTTGGGGTGGCACCGGTCAGGGTGTCGTGCTTGTACTTCTTCTTTGACGCCTTGCAATGACCATCTGCTGGGGATAGGCCTGAAACAATGTGGTCTCTTTCCCTTCCAGTGGTATGCAGGATCGGAGCTGGTCTGGAGTGAGCTTCTTGGTGAGTCTTCGGAGGATTGGCTCACAATTGCCCATGAAGCGGTGAGCTTTGCGGATCATCTGACCCTCCTGCGTGGCACACGGTGGACTGCACTCCATCCAGTTTGGTCAGGTCCTGGATGCATTGTTCTTGCCGTAGCCTGCTGGTCAACGGGTTTTCGATGAGGAAGCATCGACCTTGTTGGCGCTGTTGGATGCACCATTTTGCCACCTTTCGAAGAAGGACTCTGGCCTTGGCCCTTCTCATGAGAAGCAGAATCTTCCTGCGAACGTAGTTGCAGTTGTCCTGGGGCAGGCACCAATCACGACAGTCAATGCCCTGAATGAGCACGATGGGTCGTAGTACATCAAGTAGTTCTGGCACCTGGTCACGGTCTGCAGGCTTACGGAGATCCCATCCAGTGTTGTAGTCGATGGGTTCAGCCGCTGTCAGGTTGAACTCGTGACATCTCTTTGAAATGTTGGCGGTGCCTGCAAAGGTTTCCAAGATGTCAACCCGTGCTGCTTGGTGCTTCTGCTTCTGTAGGTGCTCGTGCACATGTTTGTCATCCATGGACTGGCTCATGATGGCATACTCCGTCTCGTAGACCTCGTGTGCTTGTCTCACCTGGGTACGCAAGCTTCTTCGTGCTGCGTTGGTGAGTGGTCCTGGTGGCCTGTTCTGGACGTGCTGGATAGTGTATATGGTGCGACCTGTCCAGGGTTGTCGGAGCTGCTGTGGTGTGTCTGAGGTCCAGTCGTTCGTGATGGTTTCAAATGTCCCATCCTCATAGTGGATGTGTGCCTGGCATTGTGGGTGCATGAGATGCTTTGGAACTGGGCAACTGCTTTGGCTGAGGTCGTGCAAAAGGAGTCTTGGAATGATGTGGTGACGGATGCACTGAAGTCGAATCTTCTCCCAGTAGTCCTGGTGCTCTTGGTTGTTGTCATCGTTCACCACTCCCACTCTTCGTCTGACGGCTGTCGGAACCTGTCTGGATCGTCCGAGTCCGGAGGGAATGCTTCGGTGCTCACTGAGTTCATCATGTCCTCGAAATCGTCCCTGGTGTGTCCGCTGCCCCTGAAGTTCTCCTCCGACATATAGTGAAGCGGGCCTTGAGTCCTGGAACTCTGGCTGGAGGTAGTGTTGGACGGCTTCTTGGGAGGCTGCCTGCTCCTGGGCTGTGACTTGTTCTTGGTCGCCGTCTTGGCTGCCAAATCCGTGAGTGAGAGGATATTGGCTGATGATGGTGGCGGCAGCGCCGAGGAGCTGGAGCACCACCCAAGCGTCGTGCTCCGGGTTCCACTTGAACTTTTCCTCGCGCCGGAGGCACATCGAGAACCTGGCGTGGGTGTTGCCGTAGCGGCGGATCTCTGGATGTGTGCAGCTCTTCTTTGCCGGCTTTGGCTTGCTGAGCGCTTTCAGACGCATCTCCTTCAACTCCTGGCGCTCGGCACTTGTAAGCCAAGACCGTGGGCGGATGCCCAGCTTCACCAACCGGCTCATGCTCTTCATCACATTGAGCTCCAAAATCAACAACCGGAGAATGAGGGTTCTCCAGTGAGCCAGCCATTCTGGGGGCTGCTTGGTCTTCTGCACGTGGTCAGTAGGTGTCGATGATCGAATTGCTCTGAGCGGACACGGCGTCAGGGTGCAAAACAAGCTCTGGTGCCTTCTTGTTCCAACAGCTTCTATCAAACAGTTCACTCCAACATGTAAGTTCGCTTGCAAAAGGAGGGAAGGCTGTAATGCATGCAACAATGTGACCGTGCTTGCGAACAATAGGAACTGAAACACCCAACTTGGACATGTGCAAAACGTTTTGTTGTAAATCAAGCCCTTCCAACAAAACGCGACTTGCAAGAAACGGGATCGGCAACGGAAGGATGCTCACACCAAAAAGAACTCCTGGGTCTCCTGGCCACGAAAGCTGGCCGGCATGTAGCAGCGCTCTGTGGCTGTCTGCGCTCTACCTGCACCAAATTGAAATCTGTCTTGACAATGTTGATGCAAACTGGACAACCCATGGTTCTGTAACAACTTGGTGTGTGTTGCAAACCATCTCTCACCAGCGCACGACCGCTGACATGGAGTATCCAGAACCATGTAGCCAGCAAGGTCTATGGTTTTCGTGGTGTAAACTTTGCATGACTGTTCAGCAAGGACATAGCTGGTGGGGAAGTTGAAGTATGTGTCTTGACCCTGGTGCTCATCATCGTGTGCGTCTTCATCCCCATAGGTGACGACAAATGCTTTCTTGGGATAGCCAGTTGAAGGTGCACTTGATGATGAGGAAGGTGTACCAAACCGCTTGGACTGGTCTTTCCCTTTGCTCTTGCCCTTTCCAGTGCTTTTGCCCGATGCTGATGCGGTGCAAGCTGCATCGCCTGCCCAGTGCCCCATGGCACCGCAGGCTGAGCAAGCACTGGTGCGCTTGCGCTCCTCTATGGTCTTGCGACCAGTGAACTTCCGTCCAAGAACTGTTGACTGAAGTTTCTTGGACGTCACAGTGAGGACGTTGGCAAGATCTTGCAAGGAGCCGTCAAGGTCATCTGTCTCGCCATCTTCAGCTTCTTGCTCGTCCTCCTCTTCACCAGCATGCTCTTCGAGTGGTTCGAAGAACTCTTCATGGGCTTCCTCCTCTGGGATGTCGTGCAATGTCTCTGAGCTCGGATCGTCTGCTGGGTCCGCATGCTCGGTCCTCCCTTGCCCTTGCTCCTGTTGTATGCTGATGCTGAGGACGGAACCGTTGTTGAAGATGATGAACTGACCGTCGACTTGCCACTACCTTTGGAATAGTGACTGTGAGAGCTATTGTTCTGTCTCCAACCACCTGACAGAAACACTGCTGGCGTGGGCCGGAAATCCGGAAACTGCAACTGTAGGCTTTCAACAATGCTGTCGAAGTCGAGGTTGCACTGAGCGCCAATCAACACAAGCCTCTGCAATGAAGGGTCCAACTTACAACGCTCTAAGATGCGGTTTCCCCTCGACTCCGCATCGTACATGGTGGCTGAACTGATGCCAACACTCTGCAGGTCTCTTTCAACGCGCTTGCATCTGTTGATGAATTGGCGAACTGTCTCATGCCCTTGCCGTGCAATGTTCTCGTAGTTCGACAGCAGCATTCTCTTCTGATACAGCAGTTTCTGCTCCAACGGGCCCTTCAGGCAGGAAAGGATGTAAGCCACACCATCCTTTGCATTGATCTTCTCGAGCTCCATGTGTTCAGCTTCAGCTTCGGGCTCTCCACTCAAGCTGGAGAAAAGCATCAAACCTGCTTCAGCTCCAGTCAAATAATGTTGCACTTGCATCTGCCAAACTTGAACTCTTCGTTCATACTTTGCGAATGCTCTGAGGTCCGTCGAGGCGTACTGCCACTTCGGAGGCTGAGGAGGGGTTCCTCCCCGCCATTTGAGCCCTGGTGCCGGGCCCTTCCTGCTATTCCATGACGAGGTGCTATCGCCACGCTTGTCGTCCAACAATTGCTTCAACACCTGCAACAACTCTGATTGCTCTGTACCTGATTGCGTCTTCGACGAAACAGGAAGGTGAGGAACTGTTGGCGACCTTGATGCACGCACATGCTCTGTATTGTCAACTGTCTGAGGATCAACATTTGGATTGGGAGTCTGCGCAGTGGTCTTTCCCTTCTTACGACGTCTCCTCGATGAGGTCGATGAGGCAACCAATGGACCGCTCTCCATAGGCCAATCGTACCGACTCGAAGGGTCGACAGAAGGATCGGTGGTATGCTTCTCGCTCTCAGGCGTCTCCTGTGTCGGTTCCTCAGGGTGGTCACCGAACTGCCTCTGGGAGACGTGAGGTCGCGAGCCGCTCACCTGCCGATCTTCGCCTCCGGCTTTAGGGACAAAGGTCCAGGTACCTTCAACTGTCTGTCGTTCAGCGGGATGCAATGTATTGTAAAACACGCCATGGCCAAACGACAAACACTTGTACGTACCAAGCTCTGCATCATCAACCTGCCAAGAGGCGGAATCACACCGCAACACCTCCAAGAAACCGGCTCGCTGCTCGAAGATGAGGGGGCGTGAACTGCACCTGGATCATAATCCGCCATGGAAGCGTGCAACCGTTCAAAGGCGTCCAATTCTTCAGGGCCCCACTCAAAGGCAGAAGAGGTACCGTCGCCCGACGACAGATCAAAACGCTCAACCACGGGACAGGCTCCGGTGCCAACTGACCGGATTGTGTGCTATGACAAACCGGGGAACAAAAAGCGAAAAAAAAAAAAAAAAAGCGAAAGCGACAACGCATGTTTCGCTCGCAAACGAAAGGTTCTGGCTCTGTGCGCACCTTGAGGGGGAACGGCCACCGGCATTCGTCTCATCTGCTGTCATGACTCTTTAGGCTAAAATTCACAGAATCAAACAAGTTTGTGCCCTCTTATGCATTGTATGCACTGTGCGCGCTCTGGTGTGGGCACAATCAACTCACTGGTACTTCCTACGCGGGTCCTTCACCAACTCCCATAGGTCATCAGCATACCTGTTAGCCAAACAGAGTCTCAACTCTCAAAAAACGATCCGGATCCTCAAGAACCCTCAAGAATCTTGTCAAGAAAACGAAAGCTACAGTAACTATTTATGCTATTACCTACTTACATGCCACAGGCTTGACATGCTCATACTGTCGTTTGAAGTAGCACTCAAAGCTTGGTAATGCCCCCTGTCACCCACATGTCAAGTCGATGCAAAGGAGCCTGAATCTGAACAAGTCTTAGAAACGTCCAGCTATTCATGCCCAAATGCTGCATCATCTTGTGCTGCACCCACATTTCACCGTTGATCTTATTCTTCTCACTCTTCTCCTCAGAGGAGACTGCATAGTCATAGCGGAACTGATCTGGGTACTCCGCCTGCATCTCCTTCCACTCCTCGTCATAGAGCAAGGATTGGGAGAATGGCACGCCCAAGAATAGCCACGCAACACCCTTGAATTTGCCCTTGGAGACTCTGTCATGAAAGAGATTTCGCAAATGAGATCGGAACGGGGCAATGCCAGTGCCGGTTGCCATAAAGATCATATTGGCCTCTGGATCTTCTGGAAGAAGCATCTCTGCACCAGTTGGGCCGGTAATCAACACATCATCTCCGGCATTGAGATCGCAAATGTGGCTGGAGCACACACCACGATAGACCTTCGCGGCATCTGGAAATTCCGGATCCTTTCCCTTCTCGACATTGGAGTACTCACACCAGCCACGGCCAGCCACCTCAACCACACGCTTCACTACCAAAGATACGGTATTGTTCTTCTCGTCGTCACCTGGAGCTGAAGATGCAATACTATACAAACGGATTTTGGCGGGGGTCTCGCCCTTCTTGTCAGGGCCGGGGGCAATTATGCCAATGGACTGACCCTCAATGTATGGCACTTTTCCTCCATGGTCCATGATCACATGGCAAGTCTCCCAATTCACCAATGGAGTCTTGCTGGTGATGGTCTCCTTGCTCACAGTGCTCCCCTTGTAAGGGGCCTTTGGGCTGAAGAGATTCCAGGGGATCTCCTGACATGTTTGCAGGCCTTTGGCTTGCATTGCTGCATATCTGGATCTGCATATGCAAAGAAGGTGGCATTTGGTTATGAGACCTTTGGTCATTACTGTGTGGAAATCATAGAATCATACATCCTGAACATGCTCATCGCCCTAACCAATCAAATTTCAGCTATGCAGTCTCCTTGCCCTCCACCACACGCACGCCTTTCTTCTTCACTGCGGTTGCGCGACGCAGCACGCCACATTGCCTCGCCAAACCAGCCAAGGCCAGCGCAGCAGACACCCTGGCAAAGGAATAACACGAACCATTCCAACATATTCAAAACCTTGTCAACAGCTCGCGATTGCTGCACCTCGATGTTGTGACAAAGGGTGATGAGGTTGATTTGGAGGCGCCGTGCGCCTGCGAATTCGCAAGTTGCTCAAAACCCCACACAAAAGAAGGACACTGTCCCACTCATCTTTGTGCCCCCAAAAGTGTGGTTGGGAACAAACCTGGAGCAGCAAGGTAGGTATATAGGTGGGTAGGTCTTCCTCAACATAATCTTGCAGGTACAAGTACCGGGAGATATATAGATTTATCATTCAACATCATTCAACCTTTATGCTGCTTTCGGATCTACAAGCATGCATACACTCAACTGGTCTTGTTGGGATTCACTGAGTGGCGTGAGCACTGAGGGTCGGAGTTTAGGATCACCGACGTGAAAGACGTGCGTAGACTGCCCCAAATTGCCTTCACAGGCCGTGTGGCTTCCAGGTGCAAAGGACGAGTCACAGGCAAGTCCTCAGTGTTTTGTTTAGCCCACGGGGGGGTGGTAGGCCAAAGAGGTAGCTAGTAGAAGACGTAGCTGCTAGCTACTCAAGCTACTACCCAGGACGCAGGATAGCTAACGATTTGGTTCCTAGCTGTTTTGAATTGGGAAACTTGACGCTCGGATACCAAACTGAGGACACATAGCATTGAATGATTAACAGTAAACATAGCATTGAGCATCTCTTGGCGCGCAAATTGATCTAAGACCCAGCGCACAACTGTTCTTCCCTGACTCTAAATACAAACCTAATTTGATCATGTTTGGCCTATGCACACATACAATGGCTAATTTGAAGGGACGGCTGAGGGTATTGCACGTTCCTAGTTGGACCGCACTGCTGCGAACCACTTCAGATGTCGGGCGCGGCCTTGCAGCAAAGTCAAGGCACGTTCCCCATCTAGCTACCCAAATCTTGTCGGGTGAGAAGGAGGAAAAAGAGACCGCGCGCGAAATGATTGCAGACTCCCGACATGCCACCCACCTCAAAGGTAGAAACTTCCACAATCAAAAAGCACAATGCAAAACTGAGTCTCCAAAGCCATGGCTGCAAAGTAGAAAAATGCCAGCCCGCCGGTGAATTGTCTTGTGGAAAACGCTGCAGTTGGCATCAGTTTCTCACATGAACACTGTTGCACAAGTGGCCAGGCGTCTGAAGCTGGACAGTGGCCAGGCGTCTCTAAGTTTTGTCTTGACTTGCATGGCAGGTACCCCCGGCCTAGGCGCCAGCAGCAAACAGAAGACGTCAGCGCAAGATTCACCAAGTCCAGTGCATCGAGATTGGTCAAGAGAAAATCAAGAACCTTGGGACTTCATGCTGTTTGTGACTGCTGATGTGGCCATCCTCTCCATTACTCTCAGGTCGTGTGGCACTTGCCTTTCATTCATTCGCCCTTCTTCACAAACATCACTTCAACTCTTCGTTGCTTGTCAAAGGACATGATCATCAGCAGAAAGGCCGGCATGGCTCAAGAAGAATAACATGGACAAGGTAGCAGTGCGCGCAGTCAGGCTGGACCGCTAGATGGCTAGACTATGCTAGACTCAATAGCAGCGTCGTGAGTCATGTTAAGTTTGTCCTGCAAAGTGTGTCTTATGCACAAACCGGTTTCTCGCAAAGTTATCCTTGCGACTGGTGGCCTTTCCAGCTAGAATTGGCAATGGCAATGTGCTTGTCGTGGTGCATGTCTACGAAGCTGGCATAGCAAACAAACGAAACAAAGTGGCTCCACATCTAGGTTCAAAAAGTGAGACGTTACTAACCTGGGCATGGCTTAATTCTCCCCTTGGATGCTGTTTTGCCCTGCCAAAGTTCAAAGTTGCAAAGGCGCTGAATGGCCCTCGCTGCAACATGTTCTACTGGAGGTGCTCTATTGAGACAGACCTCGAACGGGTGCATGTAGCTTTCATTCTTTCAGTGTTAAAGTGGGCGCAAATGCTCACACTAGGAATGGATCATGCACATGCCTCTGATGGCAGTCTGGGCGCTTCCCAGACAAAACCAGCTCGAGATAGTTCTTGAAAATGTGAGCCTTCATGAAGCACCTCAGCATTCACATGCCCAAAAAGCCACTTTGGCATGCACTACTTCTAGTTGCAAAGGGCAAACATGGTTTTTGGTACCGAGGGTTGACCGCGCCACTGCACAGGCCAACAACTACAACAAAGTCCTCTGCAAACCGGTTCCCTACAACTCTGCAGCCGCCCTATCAGTACACCTTGCCCTACATGCTGGCCTTCCTTTTGCCCCCTCCAAAACTATATACACCTTTGCCTCTAAAACACAGCTTCCCCACCAGGGCACTCTTCACATACATCCGAGTGCATGTCAATGATGCGCTCCTCACACTCATGGCAGCCAGTGGGTGCTGAGGAGCGATGCCAAGTGCAGTTTGCATTCCAAAGCTCGTTGAGTGCTGTGAAGCGCAAGGGGTCATATTGGTCCTGATTGGACGGAACAGTACGTGCCAAAGATTTAACCAAGCATAAAAAAAACAGTCCTCTAACACGAAACACATATGTTTGAAATGGGTCAAGAAGGTATGCAGTAAATAATTGGTTCTATATATCCATTATATACTACTACAGTATATGCTGCTAAATAACTCTCTAATTGTCCAGTATGGAAGCCTTGGGAGTAAACAAACGCCCACAATAACAACACGAGCAAGCAATTGGACCACCGCAACTGTAGGTCAGGGATGGTCAGGACAAATGTCAGCATGCTCTGATTTGAACTTCCTTGTTGCTAGTAGCGATGGCCCCCAACCTAAGAGCGATGGCCTTCAACCTGAGAGCTTCTTGTTACTAAGAAGCTTCAAAGGCATTCCGTCACTCAGCCGTCACTCCCACTCCACAATGATCCACCCCCTTGGTGGCGCCACGGTGCGTAGAAGGTCACCGCACCCCACGTGCGCAGCGTCGGATTCTGCAAGCGTGGCAAAAGCGGTTTCAGCGCTGGTGCGCTGAAGGTCGCGGCAGAGGCGCCACGCTGTGCGGCAACCAGCTGTGCCAATGCTGCGCCCAAGGAATGGCCAGTGTAGAGCCAATGGATGGACGGATAGGCCCCCTCAGAGTCTCAGAGCGTCTCAGAGCACTGGAAATCCGACTGCTGTGGGTGGAAATGTGGGTCTGTTTGGTGGCGGGAACTGGCCAAACCACGTGCTGGTGCCCCCAAGCGACAACAATCCGCTCAGCAAACTCCAGGGCTCGTGATAAGTAGTCCAACCTGAAGACGAGCTCACCGGAGGGAATGAAAGGAGCCCCTAGTAGCGTCCTTGCTCCTAGTAGCGATGCCCTTTGCTCCTAGTAGCGTTCTTGTTCCTAGTAGCGATGCCAGGAGCCCCTAGTAGCGTTCTAAGTAGCACATCAATCAGTCAAAGAAGCAAGGTGCTGGAGTTTTGGACATGTGGCACAATGTGTCAACAGTTGCGTATGCTTATGTATCGGAAGTGTTACATTGGGTTAATTCCTGTGTGGCTCCTATTACAGTATAAGGGTATCTAAGTTGTGTCAAACACGGTCCAATACATTGGAATATTCCATTTGGCCTTGACCCATTTTGCCCCTCACTTTTTTCACCCGAAGAACAAAACGATTTCAGTACTTAGCATGTATGACTTATGCAAGTGGGAATGTAATTAGGACTCCAGTCAAGATCTTATATGGAGTCATTGCGCCTGAGCATCAACGCAAAAAAATCATAAAGCATCTGGAGGAAAAAGAAACTAAACACAAATAACTATATAGACTATAATAGTCCGAAAGAAAACTGAAAGCAACTATTATCTTGCACCCCCCCCGCGCAAAATAAGACCCACGAATCATTCTCTTCAACATTTTGAAAAACATTGAAGAACCGACATTTGCCTCCTAGAATAGTCGGATTTGCTGGGGTCACTATTGGCGCCGGTAGCGGAAACAAGTTATTGCATGGTTAGCCCCCAAATCTATGCAAGTGAACCCTCAAAACGAAAATGCATTGATGACCTCAAGATATGGAGCAGCTTGAACTGATGTTACAGAAGTGATGACAAAAAGTATCCCAGACCCTACTCCAGCTTCATGCTTTCCTTGCTGTTAAGATTGTTAAGTGACTACAATATGAGGCAGCGAGGTTTGGTGGCTCCACATGTCGCTTGAAGCCACCCCCATTCGGGAAAGTAAAAACAATTGATGAACAAAGGGGTTTCTTGTTCCTAGTAGTAAGAATGCTACTATATAGTAGTAATGCCCTTTGTTACTAGTAGCGATGCCCTTGTTACTAGTAGCTTCTTGTTCCTAGTCCTTTCGCCAGGTTCTCACCATGATTTGTCATCCTCCAACTTCAACATGGTATCCAGGAAGTTGACCCTTTTTACCTGTTTGCCGTGCGGCTGATGGAGAGTGAATTGATTGCACCATGGTGGCAGAGAATGTTTTAGATCCAGCTGCAGAAACGCATCCGCACAGGTGTCTGCTTGGCCACTGGACTGGGAGGTGTTGAGGTCAGTGCCGCGAAATGCCAAAACTCCTCGAGTTGAGTTTGACCTTAGAGGACACATGGTGACATTGCTTGTGTTTGGAAAAAGGGGGCATCAAATCGGCTGCTGTTTCCCAAACACTACGCACACCCAAGCTCTGATCACACCCATCTTTGGCAATTACGTTGGAACTGTGACATCGATCGAAATAGATCATCCATGACTGATCTGATCACGGGCCCGACCACACCAGAACTGCTATGAAAGGTCTTGAATACCCATCCGCTACTACTGGACACATCAAATGACTCAAAAAACTCCGTCTCAAATTTCGGAAGTACCAACCGATCTTTCCACGCTTCCGAGAGTCTGGATGAAGGTCAAGGCCCTCATTCCAACCAATGGATTGTGCTCCAAGCCTCTCTGCCAGCCAGCGACGCTCTCATTCTCTGCGTGTGGATTGAAATAGGAACCCCAAGTCGCCGTATAGGTGAGCCTCGACTAACCAAAATGCCTACCTGTTCAATATGCAATGTGTCCTGCAAATGACGAGTGAGGCCAAAGATTGGGGACATGTTGAATCTGTGTTGGAAAATTGACACATTGTGCGGCAGCTAAGGCAACACCTGAAAACACGGCAAGTGGTTTGTTGGTGTGGCCGAAAACAAGTCAGGGAACGCAGGCTCATGTCGACTCGCACCACTCACGGTGCGAGGCGCCCTTATAGCAAACGCACAGCCGCAACGTCCGTTCAATCGTCAAAGAACTTGAAACTTTCACTCTGCGCAAGCTCGCGGAGTCGTGGTGAGATAGTGCCAGGCCGATGATGGCCGATGTCACGCGCATCAAGGAATCATATATAATCAGAGGGGCTTGCAAAAATGACTCTCACTTTTTTTT